ACACGGAAATAGCAATATAGAATTAGAATATTTTTTTTTTTCATCTTGCACAACCATTAGGAGTGTGCCAGGGTTTCAGCATGCCTTGGGGACGATCCACATAGCATGGTGGTATCATCACTCCGTGCCCTGCACCTTCATAGCGTCACATCCATACTAGCAGCCTGTACACATACATCTGGTGGCATGCTCACAGCGGAGGCCTTTACTATTCCTCCCAACCTTCTGAGACCAGAAAGAGGGATACTTTTTAGCATGAAGTATGTAAGACACGTTTAGGCAGGTTGCCTACTGTTAGCTTAGCTATAGTGCTGCCCCGGTTGGGAAAGAGTTAAATGTCGTGTTACCGCTTCCCGGGTTGTTCATGGTGGGCTTTTTGGGTCTGACCCACTTGTCCTGTAGCCTTATAACAATGGGAGTAGACCAGCACTGTGCAGGTTCTCAGCCTGTGCACTAGGTACAGAAGAGGAAGGGTTAATGCATGGTTAAACGCATGGAGCCCACGCTAGGTGCTCAACTGGACTCCATTCCGTTGCTGGGAATGAGGTAGCGGAGATACACTAGATGTGTGGAGTGCGCATTGGTTCAACATGTCCCCCCTAAATGCAAACAGTGACAGCAAAGGTGTACATGGATACAGAGACAGAGAGAGAGAGAGAGGTAACTGGAGTCCAGTTTATTGCTGAAGTGTACACGGTGTATGGCCATCTCTAAGTTGAACGCCTGCCTTAAGGTTGCGTTATCCCCAGGGGTGGACTGACAACTCATGGGGCCCCCGGGCAATAGGGAATCATGGGGCCCCTATGTCCTTGCCCACACTCAAAAAAATCCTATAAAAAGGTACCTGGGGCATTTCATGGGGCCCCCTACTGACCCCGGGCCCTCGGGCAGTGCCTGAGTGCTCGAATGGTCAGTCCTCCCCTGGTTATCCCTGAAAGCCGCCTCCACCTGGTCCTAGGCAGTGATGGGTAGGAAACCCCAGCAGACCTCTCTGCTTCAGCCTATAACATGGCACTCAGTTACAGCATGTGGAGAGGCCCTTAGCCCCGACCCCCCTGATCACACACTCCAACACCCACAGGTGTATGGATAGGCTTTTTTTAATCACCACTGCTTTCCCATTATATTGGCTTAGGAAAATAACAAATGCCCAATTAAGTCCCTTTACTGTCAATGTAGTGTGGACAATGTCTGCATCTTGTTCCCCTATAAATCCCCAGAGGTGCCCCAATGGATGCAATTTTATTGTGATAACGAGCAGGAACCTATTCTGTGTTTCAGTTTTAATTATTGTTTTAGTTACAGTATGTTAGATTTTCACAAATTAGTAAAAATTAGGATCACTGAGGGAGGTTTACTACAACCGGAGCACTCAGAATCTGGTGAAGCTGTGCATGGGAACCAGTCAGCTTCTAACTTCAGCTTGTGTGTGTGTTGTATGTGTATATATATATATATGTGTGTGTGTGTGTGTGTGTATATATATTTGTGTGTGTGTGTATATATATATATATATGTGTGTGTGTGTGTGTGTGTGTGTGTATATATATATATATATATATGTGTGTGTGTGTGTGTGTGTGTGTGTGTGTGTGTATATATATATATATATGTGTGTGTTGTGTGTGCGTGTTTGTGTGTATGTGTGTGTGTTTAACTGCCCATTGTCATTTGCATTGATATGGCTTTGCTGACATTTTGTTAATAAATTGATTCTTGGGCGCCAGAATGGTAAAGATTCTCTTATTTTATTATAATTTATTTCTTATTTGGATCCTTGGATTAAAATTTTTAGAATCCTCCGATTTAGAGATTGGATTAAAGGCTTAGTGTAGTAGAATATTTATTGCTGGTAAATAGTACATATTTTATGGAGGTTTATACATCAGTCCAAACAGGGGAACAACTAAGGAAACAGTAACAGAAGGATTTGGTTTCCAAAGAGAGACAGTCCCTTCAATGTTGCTTCCTACAGTTCAGAGCCATTCTTTACAAGTACCTGGCAGAGGCAGGCAGCTCTAGGCTTTGTGAGGTCTTAGGCAAAGCTTATGGGCCCCACTCACACCCATAATGGGAAAAATAATTAAAGCAATAAAAATTAACTGGGGAATGGGTAAGACAACCATTGGCTGTTCAGGAGTAGGGCTAACAACTTAGGTGTGCTGTAACATGAAACTCTGTCCTCTCTGTTAAGCGGGGGGGGGGGGGGGGGGGGGGGGGGGGGGGTTGGGTGTATTGGAGGAGGGGTGGATGGAGGGTGGAAAAAAGTCAGTTACAGGTTTGCAACATCTCACGGCTGGCAGAGCAAATATGGTACATACCAACCGCAAGCCGAGACATGTGAGCTGTGTAAGGCTAGCTTTAGCTACACCCATGAATACACTATGAACACACCATGAACACACCATGAATACACCATGAACACACCATGAACACACCATGAACACACCCATGAATACACCATGAACACACCATGAACACACACCATGAATACACCATGAACACACCATGAACACACCATGAACACACCATGAACACACCATGAACACACCATGAACACACCATGAACACACCATGAACACACCATGAACACACCATGAATACACCATGAACACACCATGAACACACCATGAACACACCATGAATACACCATGAACACACCATGAACACACCATGAACACACCATGAACACACCATGAATACACCATGAACACACCATGAACACACCATGAATACACCATGAACACACCATGAACACACCATGAACACACCATGAACCCACACCCATGAACACACCATGAACACACCATGAACACACCATGAAACACACCATGAACACACCCATGAATACACCCATGAATACACCATGAACACACCCATGAATACACCATGAATGAACCATGAACACACCCATGAATACACCATGAATACACCCATGAAACACACCATGAACACACCATGAATACACCATAAATGCACCCATGAATACACCATGAACACACCCATGAACACACCCATGAACACACCATGAATACACCCATGAATACACCATGAATACACCATGAATACACCCATGAACACACCATGAACACACCATGATACACACCATGAATACACCCATGAAACACACCCATGAATACACCATGAACACACCCATGAATACACCATGAATACACACACCCATGAATACACCCATGAATACACCATGAATACACCATGAACACACCCATGAATACACCATGAACACACCATAAATACACCCATGAATACACCATGAATACACCATGAACACACCCATGAACACACCATGAACACACCCATGAACACACCCATGAATACACCCATGAACACACCCATGAACACACCCATGAATACACCATGAACACACCCATGAATACACCCATGAATACACCCATGAACACACCCATGAACACACCCATGAATACACCATGAATACACCATGAACACACCCATGAATACACCATAAATACACAATGAACACACCCATGAATACACCATGAATACATCATGAACACACCCATGAACACACCCATGAACACATCTTCCTATGAGGAAGATTTTAAAGTATACCTAATGGCAGCAACTTAGTTTTGGATAGAGTGGAGAAGCATTAGAACAATAGTTTTTCCTGTGCCCCCATCAGGGAGCTTCAACCTCTGTATTTGTCCTGTTACTGTTATCATCAAAGGCACAAGCAAATCTCAACTTTCCGATTGTCCCCAGAACAGGAATAGAGGGGGAATCTTCCAACAGGGACATTAGTTCTGGTGTCAACCAGGGATTCCCTCTCACTTTCTGTTTTGGCTATGGGATAGGAAGTGAGGCGAAATCTCCTCTATGGGACACAAATGGCAAAAAACTCTCGGGTTATAACCCTCACCTCCCATATTCTATCCCAAAAAAAATGTCCTTTAGTTCTACTGTACGCCCAGTCTCATGGGAGCTGTAGGTAGAAGCGGCTTGCATAAAAAGAGTTAACCATCTCGGCTGTCTCATTCACACACACTGTGTGTATAGCATCTCCCTAGCGAGAACTCTGAATAATATGACAGCATCATTTCAGTGTCAGATCAGTGAACCCACACAATCATCACATCTGGAAGGGAACCAGCCGCTCACACACCTCAACAGCATCACAACTGCCAGCTGCCATGATTTGTTATAGACAATCTGCACTCCTGAATATAAAAATGCATTTGTTTCATATGGAAATGTCATGGCTAAGTTAAACGCCAGGGATTCCGAAATCAGGAAAAAAATGTGTTTCAATTAAGAAAAGGATTAGAATAAAAATGGCATGCCACTACATAACAATTATTGAAAATGTGAGGATCAGTCAGAAAGGGGTTTATGTAAGAATTCAAATATTCTGGCTTACAGCAACGCTGTTGTTGGAAAAACTCCAAATACTGCCCTTTAGAAAAGAAGAGGTGTGATGTGTTCCTCTCCGTGGGCTGCAAGGCGGAACTTTGCTGTCCACAAGAGCTGAAGAATCCATAGCATCGCATCTAGGTGTGTTGGATGCCGAGCCCCACTACATTGTGTGGTCCATATGCTGGCCCCTATGTCATTACTTTCTGCTGCAGTGATGTATGGGCTCCTGGGAGGAATCACAAGGGCCACTCCTCTACCACCCCTGGAAGTCTGACAGATGCTGAAGATAACAGGGCTTGCTGCCTGTTGGGGAGGATGCATAATTAGGGATATTTGGTTTTTTTTTGCAATGACAGATTTAGATTTATATAGGATTATGTATGAAGAATCGATAATTGCCCTCTATTTAGCGTTTTTTTCATTTGGTTCAAATCACTTGAAGTGGGGCAGTGGCCGTCCTGTCAGTTGCCAGCTCCTAATAGTGAATGCCATTTCCTATAATTCAGTAATGTTGATTTAGTTTTATCCAGGTAAAGTAAATGGATGCAATGACCCCCAAAACCTAATTGTGCTTTTCTTCTGACTGTGTCCATTTTTGTCTCCAGCTCAGGGCACACGCTGTGGATATGAATGGGAACAAGGTGGAAAATCCCATCGATCTCTCCATCTACGTCATCGACATGAATGACAACCGGCCGGAATTCTCCAGCTTAGTGTTCAATGGCTCAGTGGATGAAGCTTCCAAGCCAGGTACTGCCCCCTACTGGGTGACATTTGCTATTGCTTCTGTGCTTTTAAAATGGAAACATGGACGCTGATAGCTTGAAGTTGCTGGTTCAGGAAGGAAAGTGGGAAAGGCAACAGCCAAGTGGTGGCCTCAAGTCAGCTGGTATAAAAAAACGAAAAAAAAAATGACAGCACTTGGAGGTTCCTTAGAGGGCAATTTAGATAAAGGAGAGGAGTGAGGTGAGCACATGATCTCCCAGCATCAGCTTATCTTACGAAAAACCATAACGATTGGATGAGGGTTGCTAGCCAATCACCCTATCCCTTGAGAAAGGTTGCGTGTGGATGTTGTGGCTGCTCCATTGAAATTGGCCTTATTGGGAACCTGTCATCTAATGGTCCTTATACATTTTTTATAATCAAAAGACAAGGTGAAGAATCCTATTTAGAATTCCTCCCTTGCAGCCCTAAACATCCGCTTCACCCAACAGATGAAACTGCTTTGGGATACGTGCGACTGTCTAGGTCTCCCTCCAACTCTCGATAAGTTGAGAAGTGAAAGTCAATTGCCCATAGGACTATTTTGGAGGTCATACAAACACAAATATAAAATGTAAACGTCAACAACTTTACTGCAAACACATCAAGACAAGAATAAGTTAAAAAACAATAAAATGCACTAGGAACAGTTTTATACATTTTAAAGTACATGGTTGTAAAGCTCCTTCATACAGATCTCCAATAATCAATGTGACATTTAACAGAGATGGAAGACATCCTTAACCTCAACGCGTTTCTTGAAACTTAGTTCACTTCATCAGGACTGCTGACAGAGTGTCTGTAAATTTAAATATCAAATAAAATTTAAAAAATCAAATCTAAACATACCCAATTACCTCGGAAAGAGCAAAAAAAAAAAAACTATAAGCTGAAAACTAAGGCCCCTTTCACACTGACGGTCCAATTGGGTCAGCTTGTCTGTTTTTCAGGCAGACCCAGTCAGACCATCCATAGTTCTACGGAGCAGCCATGTCCACTGACACCCTTTGGTATCCCATCCAATATTGTATACTAAAAACGGACAGATACGGATCTGTTCCCCGTATGTCCAGCAAATAAGATTGGATGACAGTTGGATGGAAATGGACAGGTAGTCTGCTTCCATCCAATCGCCCCATAGAGAACAGCAGGTTGTGTCTGTGTCCGCTCTGCACAGCAGAATGGACACAGACCTGTCATCTACCGGATCAGAGAAGAGATCCCCTACTGAGCAGGCAGATTCGCTTGATGGAGTCCATCTCGTCTGATAGGGGCCTTACAGCTAATCATAATAACAGCCAGGTATCCAAAAAATGATTTTTACAACATCAGATGGAACCCACCAATAGAGCGTCCGTACTGGGGGTTGTAGAAACAAGAGGAGCAGGTCTGATAGTGCCAGGGGAAGAGGAACAGCGGACAGGACAACCAAACAGATGAATGAGTTTGTGGGTTCCATCTGATGTTGGAAGATAGTTTACTGGATCCTTGGCTATAATGATTAGCTGTATGTTTTCAGGTTATAGCTTTTTCCTTTTTCTGAGGTCATTGAATATGGTTATATTTTTGATGTTTAAAATGTTATTTGATATTTAAAGTGTTACTAAACCCACAACAGTAAAATCAGTCTGTATATGTGTGGTAAAGCATGCTTGTTATACTCACGGTGGAACCTCAGGGGTCAATCCTCCGCATTGTATAAAGCTTGAAACAGTGCTCAGCTAGACACTGATAGAAGTCACAAGACTGCTGATGAGAAAAGGTATTGTGTGTACTGTGGGAGACCAGATGTAGGGACTGCAGGGTCCTGGGTTTAGTAACGCTTTAATTTACAGACACCCTGTCAGCAACATCAAACACTTGATGAAGTGAACCATATTTCATGAAACACGTTGAGATTAATGTCTTCCATCTCTGTTAAAAGACACAATGATTATTGGAGATCAGTATGAAGGAGCTTTACAACCATGTACTGAAAAGTGGAAAATGTATAAAATTGTTTCTGGTGTAATTTATTGTTTTTTAATTTAATATGTTTTCAATAAAGTTGTTGACTTTTATATTTGTGTTTGCATGAAAAAAATGTCCCATAAGCAACTGATTTTCACTTCTTTGTAAGTTACAAGGATGGAGATATATGAGCCTCTGTACTAGTCCCCGGGGTGTTGTATTTCCAAGCTGAGAGCTTAGCTTTTCTGCAGAGCTACAGGTGTCACTGACACTCAAAGTGAATGCTACAAGGGAATACATGGAGGACTAATTAGGACTAGAGCAATAGCTCTGCTAAAAAGCCAAGCTCAGCCATACCATGAATGGAAAGAGATCTTCCATCTGTGACCCCGGACAGCCGTGAAGACTGCCACGGAGAGTGAACCCTGCGATAAACCTGACAATGAAATATCACTTAGGTGAGGCAGCTTTTTAAATAGTTGAGCCAGCCAGCAAGAATATTCAAAGTAGAATAACTGCAGCTGACTTTAGTTCTCTGCAGGAGGCAGATCATATACAGAGGAACCACAAAACAGACAAGAATAATGGTGATTTCATATATGTTTGCGCAAGACAAAAGCCAGAAGGTCCCTCTGGTTTTCCAGGATGTTCAGCGGTCTCCTGCCCTGTACGCGGCTTCTAAAGCTTGTTGTTCCTTTGAAACTCTATTGCTTGCTTGAATGTGCTTAATAAGAGCTTTGTGCCTTTTTCTTTCTTCCACCGCAATGAATAATGTGTAGGAGCTTTGAAGTGGCTCCCTCTGGGAATATCGCTGGTGTAAGAAACCGGCTCGGAGTTTATGGCGCTATTCTGCCAACTAACTGGGCTGGCTTCATCAGTAGTGCCCTGTGTCTGTCACATGATTCAGCTTGGGACCGCGACAGAGAGACAAAACGCAGAATTTTCATTGAGAAGCTGGCTACAGAATACTCAAGTGTCAGCTCACTAGCTAATGAATTGATTAATTAATGAATCATTTCCATGGCTCCATTCCCTTGGAGGACTTAGTGTAAATAGATATCTAACAATTAAAACTTCATGGTAGGGCTTCGATTTTTTGGCTCGCGTATGTGGCCCACGCTTCTTTTTTAATAATCAGCATTCTGACAAAAGACAAAAGATACATGCCTCCAAAGATATTTTGTATTATACTGGTACTATTAGTACTGATGCTTGTATCATACTAGTGTTATACTATCATTTGTCAGCTATCATTTACTGCATTTCAGCCTTGAGCTACATTACACACAGGAAACACAGCTACCCGCTCAGTGCTTCTGTTTTTTTTCTATTTTTTGTTTCAGGCGCAACAAATTGCAAACATAACAGGCTTAATGTTCATCATATCAAGGTGCTTGAAAAAGTCAAAGCTGGAGTCCATAAATAATTCACAGAGTTCATTTATTAAAAATCAAGTGGTCCCGTATACAACAGTACAGTAGTAGGGCTTTGTAAGCTGAAATGTGTTAGTTTCTGCTATATGCTGGACCACTTGATTTTTAATAAATAAACTTGCAGATTATGTAAGGCAGTGGTTCTCAACCTTCCTAATACCGTGACCCTTTAATACAGTCCCTCATGTTGTGGTGACCCCCAACCATAAACTTATTTACCCAGTAATTATAATTCATGAGTGTCGTTTTACCTCCAATACTGCTGCTTTCAACACAGTAGCTGCTTTTAACAGAGTAGCTGCTTTCAACACAGCAGCTGCTTTCTACACAGTAGCTGCTCTTTACACATCGGAAATATGTGTTTTCTGATGGTCTTAGGGCACCCCTGTGAAATGGTCATTCGACCCCCAAAGGGGTCGCGACTCACAGGTTGAGAACCACTGATGTAAGGACTCCAGCGTTGACATTATGGAGTATCAAGTGGATGGGGATGATAGGAACCTAGCTGCAAGAAAAAATCTTGTTGCTTGATGATAACAGCCAGGGGGTAAAGCTAAAACTCATTTGTTTTTGGTGGGATCATATTAAGGTGGTAAAATTTTGCGAACAGAGAATTGTTCATGTAGGAAATCTTAAACGTTTTGGTTATATATTATGTGGCAAAGACCACCTGACGTATCTCAGGTCATGCGGTCTATTTATGTAGTGTCCAATTTCTCTTTTTTCAAATTAAAACATAAGGGGATAAACGAAGAGGACTGAAGAGAGGAGGGGACACGGATTCAGAAGATGATAGGAAAGGGGAATAACTGGGGGAGGGACTAGGAGGGAAATGTGGGGTGCAAGTGACAAGAGCGTCAGACATGCATCACCCCCCGGATCATCACTAGGCTGGGGTTTTAGGGTCAGAGTGGATGTTCTAATGCCTTGAGCCTCTCATCCGTGGATTCTCCAGATTCAGATTGTGGTGTAAACCTGGTCCTCCTTAGTTCGCAACAGAAGGTGGGTCAGGGGTCAGTACACTTTTGTAAGAAGTAAATCTGGTGAAGTCTATCCTTGGATACCAAATATTGCCTCATTACTGTTTTACGTAGAAGCATTACTGTCATGCACCACCCCACTCTCCTTTGTCTGTAACCTAGTAATCTTGGAACACCCCTGCTTGTGATCCTAGAACACCATCCATGCTACCTGCACATACAGTAAACCTTCTGAAATAAAAAATGTGGGTGCTCAGATGTTTCTCAAAAGTTTGCAAAAGAGCACCTGGATGTTCCACAGCACTACTGGCAAAATATACTGTGGACAGATGAAACCAAGATTGAGTTGTTTGGGAAGAACACACAACACTATGTGTGAGAAAAAAAAGGCACAGCACACCAACATCAAAACCTCATCCCCACTGTAAAACATGGCGGAGGGAGCATCATGGTTTGGGGCTGCTTTGCTGCCTCAGGGCCTGGACGGATTGTTGTCATTGATGGGAAAATGAATTCCAGAGTTTATCAAGACATTTGGCAGGAAAACGTACGACCATCTGTCCGCCAACTGAAGCTCCGCAGAGGATGGGTGATGCAACAGGACAATGACCCAAAGCGTACA